CCACCACCACCACCACCACCACGCCGCTGAACTCTGGCGGACGACTGAGCTGCGGGGCCAGGAGGTGCGCCTGGACCGCCAACGTGACCTTCGGCTGGATGCCGTGATGCCTCAGTGCCACACGAGGGTTCAAAGCTCAGCCGTGTGATCGCAGAGTGCGTGCAATGGCGCATCATCAGCAGCTACTCCTTGAGGCAACCGTCGCACACTGACTTGCAGGAGGCTCGAGCACTGCGGCGAGAACTCGTTGTTGTAGCGAAACTCCTCCTCGTGTGCTTGAACGACTCAAAAGTAGTTGTGGGTGCGACTGCCAAAGGTCCATCCTGCTCGTGATCTTGCCGTCGATTGTGTTGACTAAAGGTCTGGAGATAATGTCGCCGGATGTTGAGGCCATGTTCACGAGCAAGAGATTGTTTTGGGCCCGGCTTCACTTCCTTGGAAAAACCTTCTCCTCACTACGCAGCCTTGACCGAGGTGGCCCATTCATTGTGGAGCGCCGGGAAAAGAGGCGGGCTTTGCAGCTGCGTGAGACCCAGTCGATCATGCAGACGCGGGTACAGCTGCAAAGGGTGGATGGATGCGCCTATCGGAACCCTGCAAGCCCAAGTGAGTTCCCTCAGCAATGCACATTGCTCCTATCCAATGCTCCTTGGCTCAAGGAGGTGGTGAAGCGCTGTCCAAGAGACCGTCGACATGGGTCACCGCTGCAGGTGACGCGGGCATCTCAAGCTTCGGGTTTCCCCGCCCAGCTTTGTGAACAACTCGCCGATGCTGGCGAGGTGGAAAGAAAGCGCCTCGGCTGCGCGATGCAGCAAATATCACCGCCGTCAGTGCAGCGAAGACCGCGCGGGAAGATGGCAATTGGCACGCGCGTGCGCGCCGGGGTCAATGTCCTCCAGGCCCTTATCACTGACCAGGTACCCCGAAATGTGTAACTGCCCTTATAGAGCTGATGCGCAGCTCCTCCGACCTATTGGGAACAGATGCCGATGGGCTCGCCGTCCCGCGGCCCACCACTGCATCCATCGAATCAGCGCTACCGACTTCACCAACACAAACTGGGGCCTCCAAAGTCTCCGTGGCGAGAGGCTGGCCGAGGTCAGAGGCCTGCGCAAACGATCAGCCGCCTCCAAGATCCAAGCAGCCGCAGATCGCAGGCTTCTTCGGTCCTCGCAACAGTGAGGGCTACGCTTTGGAGGCCGGGAACGAGAGCTGTGGATTGCTGCCACTGGCCTCTTGGTTGTCGTTTGAACCGCTACTCAGCCGCTACTCAGCCGCTACTCCGAGCAGGAGAACGCTGCAACTTGAAACTTGAAAGTGGAGGACCCCTTGATCCCTGACTCGCCGCTCCTCGTCTAGGATGATGGATGCGGCCTTAATTAGAGGAGGCAGTGGACTGGTGCTATGGTGAAGGTGAGAAGTTGTACCGCGTCAGGCTCGGTGTTGGAGCGCAATAGAACAGTTGGGTTTGGGTAACCGAGGGTACACTCTAAGCCTCTAAGCTCTTTTGGTGGAGGTGGCGCCACGTGCATGTTCAGACAGTCGATGCACTTGGCTCAGCTGCAGTGTCACACAAGGTGGGCCAGGCAAGAGACGTTGAACCGGTCCACTGGCGCCAACATGGCGCAGCACGATCATCTTCTTTGTAGCAGAACAAAGCCTCGGCCATTGAGAGCGTGGGTGGCGGTGCCTTCGAGAGCCTCGGCCGCAACTTCGCACTCGCTTTGGCACCTGCACGGCGAAGGCCGGTGCAAGTGCAGAGAGGGCCGCGACAGTCACTGTCGCCTGGCTTCGTTGGTGGTGTGCTGCAGGTGGAGGACAGGGTTGGCCATCCTCGTCATGCTGATGTTCCCTCAGCTCGTGGCTCTTTGCTGGGCTCTTGTGGTCAAGCTGATCATCCGTGGCGCTTGGGCTCTCATTACCCAGGTCTGTCAGCTCATGCAGCAGATCATGGCAGACGCCGCCGAGATCGATGAGGGACTCATCATGTGGTTGTCGCAGCAGCTGGGTGTGGTGCAACAGCCGGCGACCCCACTGTGCCTTGTGCTTGACAAACAACCCAGCTCCTCCGCCAGCGCGACGTGCGACCCGCCCTTTTGACCTTAGTGCTGTTCGTGCGGAACCTCCGTCGTGAACAGCCAGCCGGTTCGGATGGAGGGGAACGGTCAAGATGAACATGCAGTGCTACAGCCCCGCGTCATCTAGCTTATGACTGCCAATGCCGTTGCGAAGACGCCACAGCTGCGCAGCGTCCATATTTCTGACTCCATGCTGCAGAGCCGAAACTCATTACGGTGAACGTGCACAACTGGCAGGCCTCTCGCTGCCTCTTCTCAAGGTTGCCCGCTGCCACCCATCCGCGACAGTAAGGTTGAACATGCAGTGCTACAGCCCATCTTGCATGTGATCACCTGCCCACACCACAGCTGAGCATCCCTTTTGAGGGCGTCACTGTGCTGTCCTTCCTGCTCGGCAGCGACGGTAGGCTGTTTTCGTAGTGCAAACAGTTGACACAGCTTGGCCAGTGAAAAAGAGTGATGCGAAGTGTGCGAGCAGCGAGCAGCGACAGGCCAATGATGGGAGGAACGAACGAACCAATGAATGAATGGATGGATGAATGAATGAATGAATGAATGAATGGTGGAATGAATGGGATGAGTGGAATGAATGGAAGCAAAGGAATGAATGGCATGAGTGGAATGAATGGAATGACTGACTGACTGACTGACTGACTGGCCGAACGAATGAATGCACGAACGAACGAAGGAAGCAAAGAAGGAAGGAAGCAAGGAATGAATGATTGAATGGATGGATTTAATGAATGGAATGAATGAATGAATGGAATGAATGAATGGAATGCATGAGTGAATGGAATGAATGAATGGAATGAATGAACGAATGGATTCATGAATGAATCAGCGAATGAACCAATGAATGAATGCATGAATGAATGAATGAATGAATGAATGACTGAATGAATGAATGAATGCATG